ATGAATCAAAATTATTATCGCATAATCATATTTCTGCTGAAATTATATTTTCAATAAATAGGAATAGTTTATTATATACATATATGTTGTAGTGTTAGCTGAGCAAAAAAGTTATACCGGTCTTATCGCTATTTCTGCACTTTGCGGTTATGTACGGGCGGCGACTGTTGTCAACCAGAACCTGGTGCTGAGCGAACACTGCAAAGCGTCCAGGCTGCCTGCCGCCTTGGGTCTCGGCATGTGCGTTAAGGGAGCATTTGTCATAACTATCGGGCAGTTTCTTGGTAATTATATATGCACAGAAATTAGAACTGTACGCACGTTGAAAAGAAATTTTCTATAATGCATTGTCTCAGATTCTTAACTGTTTTTATCACAGTTACAGACACAAATTTCAGCTTATTGATATAAATCTTGTAATAATAGTTAAAATTAATATTCAAATTATTATCATTCGATTATTGAATGAAATTTATTTACTCTCATTTATATTTTCAGGTTGGCTTCGTGATTACACGGGCAGTTACAGTCTATGTATACATGCTCAAAATATTCTTCTGATTCTCATAGTGATCACCTGGGTGCCCGAACTTCTTTACAAATACTGCAAAAGAAAGTCGGATAAATTGCCTTTACGATGATGTCTATATATTTTAATTAACTTATTGTTAGTTTAAATATCGAATTTTTAATTTAATAAGTCGCAAATTATGTATATATTTTATAAGAAAAAGGATTATATTTAGCTAGTCTCAAATTGTAAACAAATACGATACCAAAGTGCATTCTTAAGCACGCACCAAGTAGTTAATAATGAAAGACTGTTTTATAGATAAATAAAAGTATTGTTCAGAATTTGTAAAACAATAAAAAATGCATAAAACATTATGTGTGACTTTATTTGCATTTTAAATCATGTCCACCGAGATCCTGTTAAACAAGTCAGGTTGTCTCAAATTCATGTTTATAATAAATAAAAGAAAAAATGCTCAATAAATCATTGTATAATTAATTTTGTATATTAAAAGTTACAGAATCAAAGTGTTTATCAAAATATTTACATTTTTAAAAAATATTACAAATGGAATTGCTGCAGAGTAATTCTGAATTAAATCTTCTCCTCCAATTGCGTTGTAAATTCATAATATCACTGGCAATATAAAGTCCCAATATTTTAAAATATACGGCCAAGTTCATAAAGCAAATCGTAGCTAGGTAAATCATCTTGTAGTTTTAGTTAATTTGATTGTATAGCTCATGTACTATTTCTAAAAATAATATTAAATAAATTTAATATTTAAATAAATAATATTACGACATTTAAAAAATTAACACAAATATTGTTATTTATATAACAAAGATGCACAGTTGCATACTTCAAAAACGGTCTAATCTAGTTAAATAATTCATTGTAATTACCTTTTCTTATGTGATTCGGCAAGTAAACATGCATTAAAAAATTTGTTTAAACTGTATATTTGCATTAGTGATGATTTATTTTTGGTTTTGTGGAATTAGCTTAAATGCACTAGCGGTTTTTGCATTTTTTTATTTGTTTATATTTTGTTTAACTGGGAATTACGACTACTTTGTTTAAAAATATGCCTATCAATAATTTCATTTTGTCATATTTTTATATTATGATCTTAGACAATATTAGAATTAAATATGTCTATATGGTTCAGCTTATACGTAAATCGAACCGATGTACAGCATTTATATTAATATGATTTGCAATTATTAATAAAAGTTTATTTCTATTCTGATATTGTGGAATCACAAAGTCTTTATAATGTTGAACTGACATAAGTTCAAATTTGGCGCCGAGCCGCCACTGCGTGACATTCAGCTCTATCTTCACTATAAACTGAGCGGATGTACGACGAAGTTAGGGCAGTCGAACCGCATGCGAAATAAATTCTTCTGTGGGTTTTTATTGCTGGAGACAGACACTGACAAGGTATTTTTTCTAAATATCTTGAATAAGCGTGCTAATAATAATTATAGTGATTTATATTTAATATACGTTGTGCGTGCTCGTACGTTTATAATTTGGATTATATTATTCATATTTAGATTAATTTTGGTTTTGTTTTTCTCAGGCAAAAATGGGTCGTCGACGCGCCAGATGGTGAGTATTTTATTTTATTCAATTATAAATATGCGTTAATTTTTTTTTATTATAATGCTATTGAAATAATTAAGTGCAGTGCCACGTTTTGTTAAATTATTTGAGGTTATGTTAGACATTTTAGTGCTCCGACATTTCACGAGCTTCTCCACTTTCATATAATTAGTGTGATCACTTTATTATTGTTTAATTGAAATTGTGCGAGAACTAGTTTTTAATGTAATATTTATTTTTAGTTATCGCTATTGCAAAAAACAAGCCCTACCCCAAATCTCGGTTCTGTCGTGGTGTGCCAGACGCTAAAATTCGTATCTTCGATTTGGGTAAGAAGAAGGCAGGCGTAAAGATTTTCCACTATGTGTGCATCTTGTATCTGATGAATATGAACAATGAGTTCTGAGGCACTGGAAGCAGGACGTATTTGCTGTAACAAATACCTTGTGAAGAATTGTGGTAAAGATCAATTCCACATCAGAATGAGCTGCATCCTTTCCATGTTATCCGCATCATAAAATGTTATCGTGTGCTGGAGCTGATAGGTAGATACATTATTTTTATTTTATTTCACTTTTTTGCCTAGGTGTTTTATTGTCACAAATTGATTAGATGCAATTTGTTTTAGTTTTCAATGATAGTTTTTAGGTTTTTTACTGGATTCTGTACAGTTCGACATTAGTCTCTGAAACCTTTAATCAATAAAGGATGTTCAATGACTGTGTCGTAGATCAAGTGTCAATGTGACCGAAGGCATATTCCATAGACTTTTTGTAGCCTTAATGTGGCTGTGACAACTTAGAGAACCATGCCGATGACAAATTCTTCAAAAATATTTAATTTTTGTGGAAACTTGTGACTGTTGTATTAAAATTAAAACATTTTTATTTAGGCTCCAAACTGGAATGCGTGGTGCTTTGGAAAACCACAAGGTACAGTTGCCAGAGTTCACATCGGTCAACCAATCATGTCTGTTCGTTCCAGTGACAGATACAAGGCCGCTGTTGTAGAGGCTCTGCGTCGTGCTAAGTTCAAGTTCCCTGGCAGACAAAAGGTAGGATACGAAATAATTTAAATATTTAAATTTGCTCTTCGTGAATAATTAAATTTATCAAGAAATTATCATTGGACTTGATAAAAAGGAAATTGTCTTTGATATTATAAAAGAAATTTGTGTCTTCAGATGCAATTTGTGCATTTGATATTAGTACTAACTAATGATATTGTCACTAGTAAATCGCTGGAAAATTGTTAATATTATTGGTTTTCAACGATTTATTCAACTCATTTTTTTGCCTTCATTATGTGATTATGGTGTATGCACTTTATGGTGACTGTGGGGACACAATTTGAAGCAATAATTTACTGGCAAACAGTAACATTAGAGTGATGTTGTCATAACATAAAATGTTAATGACATACAATTCATGATTTATATTTGTGTTACTTAATATTACTGTTCCGTCTATCAATAGATAAATCTATTGAAATCTATACAAAAATACAAGTGATAGTGACATGTAGACTAAAATATTTGAGGATTAGCAATTCAATGATGCTGCTGAACTATGATACAGCTACTAGTTACATGATCAGTGTAATTTTCAAATTAGCAGTGGCCACTAGCATTTATGAACATTATTGTTCCAGATCTATGTTTCCAAGAAATGGGGATTCACTAAATATGAGCGTGATGTATATGAGAAGCTTCGTGATGAGGGAAGATTGGCTCCTGATGGTTGCAATGTTCAATACAGGCCAGAACATGGACCATTGAGCGCTTGGAAGAAGGTTCAAGAAGACCTCGCTGCCTGTTAATTTTCTTACAAAAACTATGTAAATGTATCGAATACATTGATATAAACAAATTCTGTGGTTCTTTCTTAAATAGATTACTTTGAAATCTATAAGCTATATGCTTCATTATAAAACTCAAAAGTCGATCATTACTGAACAATGTTCATTTATGTGAATTTTAATTTAAAACAATATTTCGAGCGTTTCACTAGGTTTCTTGTACATTAAGTTTCAAATTTTGTTAACTAATGCTTCTTTTTTTTTCTTTTTAAACAGCCTGAAATAAATTTTACATTTTTTACTTAAAAACACATTTTAAGTGTATAAAATTTCCAATTTATTTTTATACTTAGCATTCATTAAATAAATAATAAATATTAAATCTGATGTGTGGTACGGTAATGAAGTAATACTATGCAGTATTCACAATTCTAAAGAACTTATATTAGCTTATGACTACATGGCTGGTCCCCTTGCAAGAGTTCTATATCATGTTACATATGTATATATACATTGCACCTTAACGTTGAAGCTTGTATAAGTATTTGAATTTCCTTAACTAATTCTATAAACTAAAAATATAAAAACCTTGTGATATCTATGCACAATTCATTATATTCACATGTTACAATTTTATTTTCTTTGAACACTTTGTTTTAAAAGTTTTACTCTTAAGTTACTACGAGATCTCGCTAAATCAACAAGATAATATCACTTGTTCGTACTCATTTACCCTTAATTACTCGTCCTAATTTTGTGTTAATCATATCAAACTTGTTTATACATAATTATTTAATTTAGTAACAACATAGTGTTATTAAATTATGTTGATACTTCTTTTATATTTGCTTTAATTTTAACTTTTGCATGTTCAACACCATTCTCTTTTAGTTTTCAATCAACGTTCATTTTGATACATGTTTTTACTCATGAAAATTGTTCTTCGCTCGCTAAATTATTTTAAAATATTTCTTTTACACATTTTCAAGTACACTAGTTAAATCTTCAGCAGTATCACACTTACATATAACATTCACTGAATTTCATGCACACTTCTACACAAATTTTATTGTTTTTATCAAACTTCAGTTTGTGGCACTCCTTGAACCAATTGAGTCCTACTTCTGCTTTGGCCTTTTTTGCTTCCCATAACTGGGGTGCCTGCCATCTTTCTATTAGTTTCAGTAGGATTTGGACTGCTAGTCACACAATCTTTGAGACTTACAGCACTGCTGCTAGTTCCTAGAGATCCTTGAGAAGCCGATCTCGCTGGGCAAGTGGTAGCTGCACTGGAAGGTGGTCTTGATGAAGATGGCGCCCTTCCTCCTGATATGTGACGCTCCACAAGTGAGGTCGGCGTATCACGGTACTCATATATGTTTTCGCGAGATTTTTGTCTGGTGCTATGGTTTTCTATTCCGCCTACCCCATCTCTATGTACATCTTCAGGCATCATAAACAGATCGCCAGCATCACTGTAGTAACGATCGCCTTCCCTGTTAAAAAAAAAATAGTGTTGGTATTGCTGCGTTATTAATCATTTTTTATATTCATGGTAAAGTACTCAATTCATTAATTCTGAGATTGGTGATTGTAATCAGTGGCTACTCAAATGTGCAGTTTAAAAAGTTGACGATCTCATTGTTTACCTCGCTTACCTCTTAGCATTTCTCCATAATATGCAACATACTACAACCATCACGAAAAGCAATAAACAGGCCGCAGACATACTCCAAAACGCAATTTGCAAGGGTTCTTTTGGCTCCCACCAATACTAAAATAATCATCATTATACATTTTAATTTGCATAGTAATACGTATTATTATTGATAAATGTGGTTACTTCACATACCTCTGTTGATGGTGGGTATGTGGGTACTAATTGACCTATAACTGTAGGAAGGTACTGACTCCAAAAAGCCATCTCAGTCTGTCTGTAGTTTAACATTATGGAAGAATTGTAGGTAGTATTTATGTTCAAATAAGTTAGTTCTCCTGCTCGTGCTTTTTCAAAGTGCAATCCCAAAATTTGTTGATGGGACGGATTCCTGTTAAATCGTAGCAAACATATTAAGTATTATTCAATAATGCAGATCATAAATTCTATGAATTTATTTACCCATATCTAGCGAAATCTGAGTAAGCTTTCATAAAAAAGTGGCTCATATTTCTATCATTCGGTGTCCACATGTTTCGATCCCAACGAAGTTTTGAAGGAAAGAATTCGATATCCATAAATGGTGCTCCCGTTAATAAATACAATTCAGTGTCATGAGGAACCTAATGCAGTTCATAAACAAAATAAAATCACAATTGCAATCATTTAGATGATAAATCATTTTGAAACAACCTTTCTCCATTCTGGCAGATTAAAAGCTTCTATGGTAGTATTCAGAACATACATGTAAACGGGTACTCCCTTTTCAAGTAAAAGCTTTGCCATTTTATCACTAGGTGCTCTGTACAAGAAGTCTGACAACATCTGGAATTGTTACAGTTTTGTATTAAATGAAATATTTCAGAAAATCAATAATTACTTACATTTATATATTGTTCTCTAATGAGTGTTTGATTTTTTGGTGCTGGCCAGTAAGTGTACATATATTTAATAGCTTCATAAACACCTTCTGGGTTCAAAGTGTAATTGTATCGAAACACTAGCTCTTTAACTTTCTGCTCAAAAAACAATTCGTCTACTTCAAAATACGGTGCAAGCGTTTCATTTTCATCTGGTTCAAATAAATAACATGTAATATGAGACCATTATAGTTTATGCAAGTTTATTCGTATAAGTAAAAATGTAATTACATATGACAAAGGCAGCTTCCTGTGTAGTGACGCCACTCATGTATTGTAATCCACGATTGAAAGCCCCCCTTTTAACTAGTTCTTCTGGCGTTTCTTTTAAAAAGTGCCAATCTTGTTCTTTCCAGCCTTCATACCAATCATCACCAGGTATCGTCATATTAACGTCCAAAACTGGACCCCAAGGAAATGTTCCCACTTGAGGCTAAACAATGGATTGATAATTACAAAATCAAATATTTAATGAATCATTATATATCACTTTAAATATATTCTAAGCACCTGGAATTCTGCATTTCCTAATTCGTAGAAATTCCGACCTTGTCGAAGGCAGGTCACAAGTTTCCAAGATGAGTCAATGCTACATCCTAATAATTGTCCGAAGACGCGACTTGTATTTTGTGCTCGATATTTGTCTACAATTAGTGCCCAATCTGCCATAGCCGAACCACTCTATAATATGAAATCAGCAATATATATGTATATATATATATATATATATATATATATATATATATAAAGCAAATTTTGACTTTATTCACCTGAGCTATAACTTTGGTGACAATGTCTCTGGTCTGAGGTGCAACCATTAATAAACCAGCAGATGCTGCGCCCGCTCCTGGTCCAAAAAGCGTAATGCTTTTTCGATTACCGTTGAAAAATTCGATATTGTCATAAACCCAACGTATAGCCATGGCTTGATCTAGAATACCATAATTTCCAGGCGAATTTTCATCGCCAGTGCTCAAGAAACCTAGAATAAAAAATAAAAAATAAATTTGGCTAAATTCAATTTGAAACCCTTGTTAGGCTTATATAACTATTCGATTAGACATTTTCTTACCAAGAGCACCCAATCTGTAATTAATTGAAACAACGACCACATCGTAAAAAGCAGCTAACATATGACCAGGAAATAGGTTCGATGCCCCCTTGTAAAATTCGCCTCCATGAATGTATACCATTACAGGGTATTTTTCCGCCACTCCAGCCGCAATCTGAAAAAACAATATTATTCATTTATATTGGTATTTTTATCACTCATTTGGAGAAAAATAATTTAAAAATTCAATTTATTGTTATATATTTGTTTCCCATTATATTAACATATTATTTTAAATCTTGAACATAGTAAATATAGGAAATAAATTGAATTGAATTTATAAATAAATTAAATAAGTATACTTCGGAAAAGATTGAACATTATAATTTGCAAATGAATCATTCAGTTGGATGATACGAATTATATATACAAGAGGTCAAGCTGACTAACTTAACGTAAGGTCGTAACACGATGTTGTGCTAATTACCGGTCAATTAATAGCTTAATTTAATTTAGGTTCAAATAAAAACTTGGTAAAGTTAATTAAAGCCCTCACGGTCAATATGAATTCAGTGCACATGATTATGCATACGAATATTACGCCAAATATAAAGAAAGCGAAATTTACTACTTACATTCGGAGAGAAAACATTTAAGTAAAGGCAGTCTTCATCAACATCTCTGATTCCTTTCGTGGCGCCTGTGTATCTGGCCGGTTGTGGACAAGCGGGTCCAAAATCGACGGCTTGCAGTTGCTGCCAACCTCGATGAGGTCTAGGAGGCTGAAAAAATACCCAATAAAGTTTTATTTAAAAATGCGGATAAAATGAGATTGTATACAATATATTATGGTAGAGCCATGATATAATTGAGATCGCTTTCAAGTTAAGAATAATTACCTTAAATCTTCCTTCCAAAGTTGGTGGCATAGCATATGGAATTCCTAAGAAAACATTTGCATGTCCGAATATGCGATCCACTACGTTGTTCCATGGTCTATATGATGGATCGGGATTATCATATAAATACACCTTCACAAAAAAAACAATCAGTTATTTGTTTTTATGGATTCAATAAAAATAGGAAATATTGATTGTACCTTAAAACCTTGAACTTGTCCATAATTTGTCGTAACAAATATGTCGCGGTCAAGAGTGATGGAGTCTCGTCTTTGTTTACCTTGCAAATCGTCTCGCCAACCACCCAACACGCCAGGGAATGGTGTTCGAGGCGAACCATCTGGATTATTCTAAAAATTTTAAATAGATATTAATGAATATGCAAAAATTATATTAAATCAAACAAAACATTTGTGATATATTATTTTATTCTCATATATATATATATATATATATATATATATATATATATATATATATATATATATATATACATACAACTACAAATTCTATAGTACTAACAAAATAATGTTTCGGCCACATATCATGATATAATAAGATAATCTGTGAATTTATCCGCGTACAATAATTTACTTAAACTTGTTTCATTTATTTCACATTGAATAGCCTGTATCTCGCAATCTCGATAGATAAATAAAAATAAAACTTGAAATAGATTTCATAATAAATTAAATTATCGATTTATTGTTTACAGGTTAATAACTAATCATTTTACATATTAGTTACTATATCTTGAAAGAATTTAGTTTATTGATCTAAAATCCATTTTCTCTAAATTATTATGTTGCTTATCGTAATTGCGCTTTTTATAGTCCTAGTCATTCCATCTGCTTAGAGTTGATTATAGCTTATTAACGCCGATTATAGAAAAACAATCTTATCGCGAAGTGTTTGCAAAATTTATTTTTGGCTACACGGTATTTATAAAAAGTAAATTAAACAGCTACGTCAATCATTTAACCATTTATGGGCCCGCATAACTTCCAGGTTGCATTCGAAATTTTTGCGATATTTTACCAAATATAAAGTGATTTTTTTCGTAGATGACGCACAAATCGTAATTCTACAATGTTTTCAAGACCACATATATCAAAATTTATAGCTTTGTTAGGCTTTTCAAACTTGCAATAACGTTTTCATACACAGAAGTGCAAACATTATAGGCCGCTATAACTTGAAAGTCACATTATTCATTAATGCCAAAAAAATTTTTAAAGAGAATTTTTGTTTCTCATATTTATATTAGGGTGGTCCTTAAAATGGTCATTTTCAAATTTTCTTGCTCCCAGGGGCTCAAATGGTTCCAAATTGATAAAAAACAATTATCTGAAAGTTTTAGCTCTTAATATTAACGTTTAGAGCGCAATTCAATCAAAGTTTGTATAGAAAGAGCATGGAAAAATTTTTGAAAATTAAAAAAAAATGTTTTAGGTATAACTTAGCGACAAATGAATGAGTTTTATTCATTCATTTGTTCGCTAAATCACATTTAAAAAACATTTTTAAAATTTTTGAAAAATTTTCCATGCTATTTCCATACAAAACTTTGATTGAATTGCGCTCTATCTAAACGTTAATATTAAGAGCTAAAATTTTCAGAGAATTGTTTTTTATCTATTTGGAACCATTTGAGCCCCTGGGAGCAAGGAAATTCGAAAATGACTATTTTAAGGACCACCCTAATATATATATATATATATATATATATATATTATTGCACAGTCATATGGAATTGGTGGATATGGTTATTTTAGATATCGAAACTAAACCCACAAAGCTTAATTTATCAATCAGAATCTAGTTCTTAAATAATAGTGAGTGTACATATTTTTGCAAGCGTTAGTGAATCAATATGTTTATTGCACAACCAACATTGATTTTAACATACCTTATAAGTTTTTTTTTATTCGTTACTGATAGTCTCTGCGTATATCAGGAGATATTGATATAAGATCATGACCAAGAAATTTATCTGATTTTGAATCTGTAATTTTCTGCTTTACTTCGGATACCAGGAATGAGACTTGTGTATAGTCTTAAGGAAAAAAGTTTTCAAACTCCATTAAAAACTTGAGTGATTTGCTCCTCCTGGGAGTAGTTTTGCGAAAATGATTGAAATACATCTTTGAAGAAATCAGCTATATGCTGATCAGGAGAGTTTTGAAATGAGGTGCAGGAGACGAATGGAGAGGATAAAATGGACAGACTAGGTAACAAATGAAGAAGTCCCGAGAAGAGCAGGCAAAAAAAGACTTTACTGAGCACGACCATTAAAAGGAAAATAAACTGAATCGGACCCATTCTACCAAAAGAATGCCTTCTACCCGACGTCGTCGTGGCTAAAATAAAAGGACTGAAAGAAAATGAAAATTGCAGATAGTTGATGACTTAAGGGGTTACATGGGTTTCACGGTTTCAAAAAATCAAAAAGAATTTTTTTGTCTTATTAAATTCTATAACATCTTTAGAATATTGTCCTAAATTTTTAAGTTGATCCGACTAATAGTTTCGGAGATACAGCCTTGAATAGGTGGACGCTTGAGGTCCATCTTTATTGTTTCTTAAAACTTTAAACGCGTTTTTCTCAAAACTATGTTTTCAAAGACGGTTGTCAAGATTTCTTAGAAACTACTCAACTGATCTTGATGAAATTTTACACAGGTCTTCGAGATATCGTTTACAAGGTATTGAACAAAGGATTTTCTTTTTGTTTAATTACAACTATTAAAAAAAAATAATGTCGAGAAATTTTAATCGAAACTTGCATTTTTTTTATAAAAACGTCTGCCGAAAATCCAATTTTCATTTTTTTCTTTTTTCCTTCGTCCAATACCTAGTTTATTGTCTTTACTAAAACACGTATTTTTTATTTTTATTTCGGATGATCCTGAAAAAAGTTCTGCTGACAACGCGGAGGCACCTTTTTTTCCGAGGGATTGCCGGAAATGGCGTCGTAATGACCGCGATTTTGATTTTTTTTTTGAAAATTTTACAAAATGTTTATTAAACATGTATCTTTTAAATAAAAAAAATCATTAAAATATTTTATTTTTTATATGTAAAAAACATAATTGAAAAAATACCGTTTTTTGCCCGAGGAAACCCATGTAACCCCTTAAACGAGAAGAGAAAATACAGGGAACTGAAAGCCGAAGCGCAAAATGAGAAAGCATGGAAGCAGATGTTTGGAAAGAAAAATAAATAAAAAGTGATAATGGTCATTAATTAATAGTAATAAAATGGCAACAGGAATAATAAACAAAGGAAGAAAAGAGAATTATTGATTTGTGGTGCACTCATACCATGAACTTGCCTTCGGGCAGACTGATAACATTGTCGAGAAATATTTACAATTATGGTTTCAATCTTCAAATATACCGTAAACAATACCGTAATAGGGTACGATAAACATATTTCATAGATATACGCTTGTATATATTCTAAACCTATTTTCACCCGGAATTTTCTATTTCTGCACTTGTTCATAAGAATCATACTACAGTTAAGTTGAGCGAGCAAGTAATCGTTCCATAGCGGACTTTGCATGAATATGGAACGCCTTCTGAAGCGCGATCATTGTGTGGATAAAAACTGTGTTAATGAATTTCACGATGATACATTACTTGATTAAGCGATTTAAAAGACGGCAACCGTTATTTTCTTTCATTGGTCTTGTACTGCACATGTTTATGTTTGTTCGTCTTTGTTCGAAAACAAACACAGTAAAACTTAATGGCGTATGAAAAACTCATTCACAAAAAAGTTTTTATATTGAGCTAATAAGACACTGATTTGAAGCCGTTATAATCTTATATACAAAATAATTATGGTAATGATTTCAATTCTGAATAAAATAAAGAATATCAACAATCCAACACTAAATACTTGACACAAATATAATTCAAGTTCGTTTGTAAAATTAAATATTTACAATTTTATTTATATGTAGGAGATACTGGGTACGGTTGTGCCGGAGTACGGTATGACAGTCGTCATAACAGCTAATCTGTATGTTTATTCGGACAAGTTTTCATTATTGGATTCAGTCTTGGCTCTACATTAACATGATCTGTAGACTGCATTGCTTTCAATTAGTCAAACGTAATATTTTTTGTTCGATTTCTTTTAATAACTGTTACTTGTATATAGATGGATTACCTTGCGTGTTATTTTGCTGTAAGTTGAATATTGGTAGTAAATTACCAGCAATTAGTTTTTGTGTAGATAATTTATTTCAGTCATAACGATGATTTGTTTTCAAAATTGTGCGTTGGATGCGGTTGTGATATGTTGTTGTTCTTTATGACTTTTTCGGTTGAAAAATAAAACTGAATAACTAGCTAAAAATTTAACTGAAATAATAATAAGACAAAAAACGAAAGAGAAAGAGAAAGGAAAAAGCAATACGAAAGAAGAAACTTTCTGTCTGGCTTTTGAAAGCTCATATTCTAAAAGTAGGGGTGGCGTTAAATAGTTCAAATGACAAGGAACATGCTATTCCTGGTTTCACGTATTACATTTTTTATCATTGTAATGATTATTCTAACTAGAAATATTTATGCAATATTTTGACAGATTAGTACTCTGATAATTATTAGTTAACATTTTTAACTGATTTCAAAGAAGAAACTTATAATAACACGAGTAGTGATGATGACTTATTATTTATATCCTGTTAACTTTTCTTTAATTATGTTTTGTTACTTTTCCTCCATATCTCCAAAGCCGTTGGACCTGCCTTCCAAAAATTTGAACGGTTCTTCATTTAGTCAACACAAATAAAATGTTTTTTGAATTATTCAAATCAGACGCTCCGTTCCCTTAAAAATTGAGTTACCGTTCTCGGCACTTTTTGCCCCGTATCATCGGAACGGCTAGACCTGCCTTCGCCAAAAACTAATCAGCACGTCTCCTTATCAATACGAATCGAATGTTTTTTGAATTATTCAAATCGGTTGATCCCGAAATCGTCGACGAAAATTTGTATCCGCACATACATACATACACGCACATACACACACACATACACACACACACACACACATACACACACACACATACATCCATTTTTTCTAAGGTATGCGAAAATGTTCAGAAGGTTTTCAAACGTAAAGATATATAAAAATTTTCATTTTCGATTTTTTTGCGATTACTAAAACTTGCTCTACGGGAAGTTAAAAATGCCATTTGGCGTTCAAAAATGATCAATAGACATATGCACATCAAATTATTAGATATTTCATAGAGATTTTAACAATAAGTATAAATTTTGTTTACATTCCTATGGGTTCCGTACCATGTACCAATGTTCATCCGTTAGACGGCAACGCGGCGCTTACGCGCTACGATATTTCGTCTCTATGCAGTTAAAGCAGTACTATTGCTTTAAAAAAAAGTTCAGAATTTCCAAAATATTTCAAAATAAATTTTTCTTCAAAAAGTCTTTTTTTTTAAAAAAAAGTAAATTTTTGTCAAAAATTTATAGTTTCTCAAAAATCTAATTTTTTCAGAGTAATTTTTTTTCAAAAATGTTAATCTTTTTTAAAAAAAAAATTTTGGTACGGGAAGTTCCAGCAATTTGCCTTAAGGCACGATGCCATGCGACCCACTAGTTAATCTATATTTATGCTTCTGTCACAACCGTTCTGGGGGTGTGGACGGTTGTAACGCTCGCCTCTTTTTTGTCTGGTTTGATTTTGTGATTAATATAGCGTATTTAAGCATAGAATTTCACTATTTTTATGTAGACAAAGGCTAACTAGTAAATTAACAAAATTATTGCTTATCAAAAAAAGTGGCACAACTGTCTCCCCAACTACAGAACATACTTCTGTAAATATGTGCCTCTGATTACATTCTACCCAGATTTGTTTATACCCTAGAATCTATGGACGTAAATTTCATATTCATATCAGAATAACATTAGAGTTGTGCACGCTACCTGACGAAGCATATCGCTCATTTCGCAATCTGACTATTAGGCGACGTGTGATACACTATTACACATTCTATGTTTTCCTGACCTACTTTACTTTTTATTCGCATAGAGAAATATACTATGAAATAGTAAAACATAATATCGCATATATAATAGTAAACCATTTTGTAAGTGAGGACAGATGTGAAACAAGTACAGAATATATTTCTCTTTCCTTACACGTGAAAAATCGAATGAATCGACATTTAAATATATTACTATCGGTAGTTATGTTCAAAAATTAATAATTGAATAATTGATATTGATTAAGTTAAAAGATATAGTTGTTGTCAATATATAATAAAGAAATATTTTTGCCTAGACATATTTATTATTCAATTCATTAAAAAATCTTTATAACTCGAAGTATGGTCGTATCTACAAATTTGTTTCAGAATTAAACTTGGTCGACTATAAAATAAATTTTATTTGAAATATGCTAGATTTCCTTGAAGAGTTCAACTTAATTTGAATTAATAACAAATATAAGCAACTTGTTGATCTCAAAAAGCGCGCCAGGTTCCACAGATGAACTCTGTTTACAAAACCTGTCGAAAGCGCAACGTAGAGTCAAGCACATGGTGAACTCTACAAAACATTTGGCCCACGCCCATTTCTCATTAGATTCTGTCATATTGAAAATTACTTCGAATGATGAATTAAACCACATCTCAAAACTATTCGTTGTACTAAAACTATTAAACATAAAATATTATAAAAAAATATAAACGTATAATAGTAAATGTAATTTCCAGACGATTAAAACATACTACCGATGCAGACAACTTGTTGTTTAGGACTTTTATTACATAAATTATTGATTTCTCGACTTACTGGGCTGTATCTATTCCTATCGTCCTGATTAGGATAATATCCAGGCTGTCCAGGATACGCTGGCACACCAGGCAAGCCATTCTGTCCTGGCAGGTTTTGCCCATAGCGTCTATTGTTATACGTGTAAGTTCTGTATCGCGATCGCCCGGGTTCGGAGGGCCGTACAATCCATCCCTGGAATAATAACGTCCTCCAGAATCGAACTGACACCAGGATATTGACACTAAACACTGCACAATCACAAAACTGATCACAACATGACATTTGCGTGCCACGGCTGCCATCTTTGTTCGGTAACCTGCGCGAGGGTTTGCATTCGCTCACCGACTGGCGTCCGACGTAATAGACAGGTTACAAAACTGCGGAGAATCTACAGGTGTTGTTCTGCTATATTCTATTAGTCAGGGTTTGTCAGGTAGCGAATGAACGCTTGGCGAGCGACGGCCGCGACGTAGATCGTTCACACGTGTCAATTCTTTACCTGCAATCCGCGTACACTCCCGTATACAACATATGCATATTACACGAACGTAAACAAGCCTCTTGCTGGCTTTTTCTTCTGATGTCACTTGACCACTGTGTGTTAATGTGACGACTGACTCACTAAAAATATTATTACTGTTTTAGTCGCACGCTTTGGGTCGATTTCTCTTATCTCTTGGGAACGTTTATCAGACCGATAAAACAATCGTATCAAATATCATTCGGCGATTTTGCTGAAGTCACCTCGAGGTTTCTCAACTCTTTTAGATAGGGCATGAGAGAAAGGCAGATGATGTGGTACAATTCCTAATGCGAGCAATTCCTTTTGTTGCCCATTCAATTGTTCGACGTTTGTATCTTGTATCTGTAAATAATAAAAATATACCTTGGTTAAATTTCTTCTATCGTTAAACAAACTGAAAATATTTTATTATGTTTATTTAAAGTTTATATAAAATAGACATTTTTTATCATTTTTGTCTCATCTCTTTCTTATTATGCATATGAATTATTTTAATAATTAATAAATTACATAAATATAATACATAAACCCTAAATGTATTTCAAATGCATATTTTTGGATGGGGAAAAAGAAATCCATTATTTTTTTGGTAGATGGTTGTACTGATAGATTTTTCGTAAAGTATCGATCAACCAATTTCAGATTTATGTTTGTTGGAAAGATGACATTTTGCAGTAAAAAAATCTTTTGCTGTTTTTTGTTTAGTGCATTCAGTTTGTGAGTTACAGGGTGTTAAATATGGAGCTGAACAAACATAAAATTCGATACATTTTACAGGTTTTCTTTGACAAGGGCGCAAATGCAAGCCTGATAGCTTAAATTGTGAATGGTGTGTTTATGGTTCCGATACTGTAACAGCCAACTATGCGTAATTTTATTTCGTAAGTTTTGTTCAGGAATTTTTTATATTAAAGATGCACCTCGCACCGGTAGGCCGGTCATCGAAAATGTCGATAAAACCACAGAAATGATTAAAGTTGACCGGCATGTTAGCAGTTGTAATATCGTATAGGAGCTAAAAATAGACCATAAAACAGTTTCAAACCAATGAACCAAAATTTTAAACCAAAAATAATGGATTTCTTTTTCCCCAACCTAATATATTAGGACATATCATATGGCAAGTATGCAAATTCCAATTATATAAATACTCTTCCGAAATTTTCTGATCGAAAACAATAAATCAACTATGAAATAACTATAAAAATATATAATAAATTATATATTATTTTTCTTATCTTATTTGTATCATATTAATTCCATTTCAGTTTATTTAAATTTTCAATAAAGCCTACATTTTTCTCATTGGGGCAACTCCATTCATAAACCTTTATTCCTGGGATTCACAGGATACAGATACAGATAGAACATGATTTGAATAAACCGTGGAATTCTCAGAAGACAGCATATCAAATTTCAATTATAATGATTTGTTTTCCAAGTATTACACCATGACAAAAGTGCGCAGTGTAAAATGATACCTTTGTTTATTTTCGCGAGAAATTGTAGAGTTCGTCAGCAATCAGCTGTTTCGTCTTAACGTCAAAATCAGCTGTAACGTTGGTTAAATGTTATGATGATGATAAAAAAGTTTTTTTTTTTAAAAAAAAAAAATACTCAATAGAGATTTATTTTACAATTGAGGAAATAGTTTGAACTACAAATAGTACATAATGCTTCCAAAATAATACATTATTTGTTTTCAGAAACAAGTATACATTTTTCATTAGCATATATGATTCATACAACTTCGAAAATTTGTTTAACAAGTATCATTCTAATCAAGTAGCTTGCAAGAAAACGTGTTAAAATTCAATAACAAATTAAGTGTAATGCATATATGTTTATACTTCTGAGAGTTTTTATGTTCATCTAAAGTTCTAAACGATAAAAAATAATAAAACACTTTCTCACCACGCATTTCATGTACATACATTTAATATTTACTATATAAAATTTAATATATAATGCATGCTTTAATAATAAATGTGAAATAATCAATATAAAATATTATTATAAAAAATTGTTTGTATGTCGTGATTACTACATGTCGTTAATCCACGATGAGACTTTTATACTTGTACAATACTTTTACATACTTTTTTATACGTTAGAGATTTTGTAACTTGAAAAAATACATTACAGTTAGTAATTTTTAAAATATTATAATTAACAACGTAAAAAATCTTACAATTTTATCGCTGTCACTTATACCTGTTGCTTTTTCACATATCAAGTGAAATGCATCAAGTAATTTTACATATCTCATATATTAAATAAAAAACACTTTCTTGTCATATCATACATGGTTTATACAAGCTTCGTAATTCACGTCAATTGCAATATCAAATACATGTGATATGACACTACGATAATAAATGTATTGGAACCTATAAGTTGAATATTTTTATAATTACCTGTATTGTGATTTAAGATTACATTTTCTATGCCTATACTTATTTTAGATAAACTATTTATTGAGCTTAAAACGTTTTCTAATATTTTAAAATTCCATGAAAATTACTCTTACACTAACACATGTATTTTTTCACAATTTATTAAGTATTTTAATTAAGATTTTTGACTTTAAGTATTTTTTATTAATTTTAGCACACGTAAACTTCAAGCTGTTGCCGTACACTAACTTAGGCTCAATAATTAATAGAGAGGGAGTCGCCTCTGACGAGTCATTCATTCATACAAATGACACATATGAATCATCGACGCGCAGGTGTAGAAAAACTATTTTGATAAGAACCGTATTATTTAATGTGAGTACATTTATTTTTTGTAAAAAGTTAGGAAAAATATTGAAAATAATGGTAATGAGAATTATAATTATTTTAACGAGCGAAGAATGTACCGGTGTGGGATCGTTGTACGATCATTAATCGATGTTAGACTCTTACTTTATTTATTTATTCCCAAAGGAGTTTTGTCAGAAAATCCAATTTGCTAACTTTGTTTATTTTTGCGTTTCAAGTCATTCTCAATCGTTTAACTCCAGAATTTGAAAAAATATGCGTGTATGCGTATCCTAACCAAAATTTTACCCATCGTATAAGGACTCACGGTGATTAGTTTTGCGACACGAGTCGCTTTTTAAAAGTTTTGCAGACAACTGCAAAAAAATTGTTCACATTTTTGCGAAAAACCCTGAAGCAATTTTGTTTTTTTTTCAAAACTAGGTAAATATTCGTGCTAATTAGTTTTTGGTAAAGATCGGCCTCACCGTTTTTTTTCTGTTTTGTAGTTATTGTAATTTTTACGATTCTGATGAAACTATTAATGACAGAGTTCATGGATCTAATGAACGTCCTTAAATAAGTTTGCGAATAATGGTTTAATTATAAAAAAACGTCAAAGTATAGCATAATAGGCTATGTCAAATTTTCGAAATTCTGTCACAATTTGAGAAGTTGCTAAAACTAATTCATATTTATTAATTCGATTATTTTGGCATATCGGGAAGTTTTTGTATCTCGCCTTAATATAAGGTTACCATACGTCCCATTGGCAGGGACAGTCCTGGAAATCCACCTTATTTCCCGGATGTTACTAAACACAATATTTGATCTTTTGTTCCCAAAAAGTACATGTTTAAATTGAATCTTTGCTATTACTTTATAACAAAAAATTACGACTACACATCAAATATATGAAATTGATGTAGGTATACAACATTGAAACATTACGTTAAATAGGCTCTAGATTAGTAATTTCCAGCTCTCATTTTTAAATTTACGAAAATTAGAAATAATTATGAAAACGAACTTTTCGATTGCCAGGTTCAAGAGTTAAGTTTTACTAACAAAGTTATAAGTTATTTATAAAGAAAATTGAATAAAATCTTATATAAGGCTTAAAATATGGTCATCTTGCTTAATGCCACTTACATCTGGTTAAAAATGGTTCTGAGACGCTGATGTGTAACATGTGACATTAGGTGAACTCTTCTCTTGTACGTGTTCTTGTCGATGAAGTCGTTTGTTACGCTGCGCTGTTTACGCACGGTCGCGTTATTTGTCCAGAGCGCGGAACCGACGAATGTTGCACCGGATTGTTGTTTCATGTCATTCTGTAATATCATAAATTTTCGAGTTTGTGTGATACTGTCAATAAAATCGTTTCATGGCTTCATTATTATGAAAAACAAATACCCAACTGTTTCAATTCATTCGGTTTATTTTGATCTAATCAATTTAGAAAATGAATGAATTTGTGCACTCATCAAACATTAAACTATTAGCCAACACTCTCTCAAAATATACGAGGGTGGGCTGAAAAATTTTCGTTCTAAAAATGATGCAAACTTTTTTTTCTTATTTTGAAGTAAAACTTCTGTAGGCGCGACTAGGGTGTAAATCCGTACAAATGCAACGGAACTGCGTTACGGCCGAGTCCAGTGCCAATGATTCGTCATTCGCTCTCAATGATATCATTTCTATATGGGTCGATTGTGATTGGTCGTCGTATCATGTGCGAGGCTTCTTTGTATGCGTGACTTTGTACGTGCATACGTCACCAAAAGCGTGAAGCATATTGTTCATTTTTCATTCCCTGCAAATGTGGTCGTTTTCGGCCATTTGTGCCTTTAGCGCGTTTTTATAGTTGTTTTATACTTTGCAGTCCACTGTTTTGACTGCAGTTTTGTTTTAGGCGTATAATAGTGAATCCAAGATTCATCTACAGTAATTAGTTGACGCCAAATATCGGACCTATTACGCCTAAAAGGCGTGGAAAATGTTTATTTAACCATGTCTTTGGTCTAACGTGAGCAAACGCGGCAACCAATGCGCTAACGGCTTTCTTATGTGTGACTTTTTTTAATATATGACAAACACATTTTTTGGACATTTTCATAACCTTCATAACCTAACATCTATCGTTCTCACATTGATTCGGCTTTCGTCTAGCATCATTTCGTAAACTTCAGAATGTCATCTTCAGAAGTTGAAATTTTTGGACGTCATGAACGATCATCGTCTTCCAAGCTCTTACTGGCACGTTTAAACTCAACTCCAAAAATGTTATTTTTGGAAAATGATCGTGCAGAGTCCCCACACACAGAAACCAATTTATCTTTCATTTGCGTTTTGCCTTTCAAAAACAAATATTAAATAACTGCTCAAAACTGAACTTACTACATTTTCACAAAAACACTCGCTCCAACGGCTGTCGATTAAAAACGAAACGTCCAAAATGGTCAAAATTTGGCAAGCTTTTGCGGGTCCCTGTATAAAAATCGGTTGGGAGCCCTATTTACTTAAGGAAAAGATTTCTCACAAAAATAATAAAACATTAGAAGAAATGAAAATATTTTTGTCACTTTCACAAATATT